TGGTTGTCCGCGTAGGTGGTGAAGATCTGGGTCTGCTTGGTGGGTATGGTGGTGTTCCGCTTGATTAGCGTCGTCATCACCCCGCCGGCGGTCTCAATGCCCAAGGACAGGGGCGTGACATCTAGCAGGAGCAGGTCCTGCACGGCCTCTGACTTGTCGCCATGCAGGATAGCTGCTTGGACGGCAGCTCCGTAGGCCACAGCCTCGTCCGGATTGATGGACTTGTTCAGCTCCTTCCCGTTAAAGAAATCCTGCAGCAGGCGCTGTACTTTGGGAATGCGGGTGGATCCGCCCACGAGCACGATGTCATGGATCTGACCCTTGTCCATTTTGGCATCCCGCAAAGCCTTGGCCACCGGATCCATCGTTCCCCGGAACAGGTCACCGTTCAGCTCCTCGAAGCGGGCCCGGGTCACCGAGGTGTAGAAGTCCACACCCTCGAACAGGGAGTCGATTTCGATGCTGGCCTGCGTGGAGGAGGAAAGTGTCCTTTTGGCCCGCTCGCAGGCAGTACGCAGTCGCCTTAGAGCCCTCTTGTTCTGGCCCAGATCCCGTTTGTGCTTCCGCTGGAACTCCTGGACAAAATGATTGACCAGCCGGTTGTCAAAGTCCTCGCCGCCCAGATGAGTATCGCCGGCGGTGGCCTTCACCTCGAAGATGCCATCCTCGATGGTCAGCACGGAGACGTCGAAGGTGCCCCCACCCAGATCGAAAATGAGGACATTTCTTTCACTGGTGCCCTGCTTGTCCAATCCATAGGCTATCGCCGCCGCCGTCGGCTCATTAATGATCCGGAGCACGTTCAGGCCGGCGATGGCGCCAGCGTCCTTGGTGGCCTGGCGCTGGGAGTCGTTGAAGTAGGCGGGCACGGTCACCACCGCATCAGTAACAGTGCCACCCAGATACGCCTCTGCCGTTTCACGCATCTTGGTCAGCACCATCGAAGAGACCTCCTCCGGATAGAAGCTCTTCCGCTCGCCCTTGTACTCCACCCGGATGCGCGGCTTCCCGTTCTCGGAGACAACCTCGAAGGGCCAGTGCTTCATGTCCGACTGGACGGTGGCATCGTCGAACCGGCGCCCAATCAGCCGCTTGGCATCTGCAAGTCAGAATCACACCGGTCAGAATCCAATTGAAACACAATCTAAGGTCATTTGGACAACAGATTCGCTTTATTGGCTAACATTTAAAGGATATATGGTGTATGTGGGTGTATATCATGGGGTGTATATGTGGCATTTGTAGCTGTGTGTGTGTTTTTGGGGTTGACCTATTTGCTTTCTAGGCTATAGGGGGGACGTTATCTATGCAGCCCCGCAGACTGAAAATACAAAAAGAGAAAGAAGACTTCTATTAGATCTTCTCCAGAAATCTTCAGAAAAAACGGGAATATGAATATGTAAAAAAATGGTTTCTTCGGAATATTAAATAGTGTATATAAATGTACTATTATTCATTTTAATAGATTCGCTTGTGCTTTGGCATATAAACAAATCACTCATACGACCTGTAAGCCACATAAAATGTTTTTGAACATTGTGATTTATGTCCAAATTTTAGGTTCGTATATATAATAATGCATTTGAATTTATTTTATGTATTTTTTACTTTTATAATAGTTAAATTAGTTAAATAGTTTATTATAATAGTTATATTCCTTAGCTCAAGATATGAATTGAATCCTTTTAAAAGAGAATTTTTAATAGTATCTTTAAGGACTAATAGGCTTCCCTTTTTCTTTTTCTTGTTTTCTTTTTTTATAGTTTTTTTTTTTATCATAACCTTCTGTGTGTCTATATTTGCTATTTATGCTTAAATATACTCTATCATTTTTAAAATATACCTAATGTTTTTCTAGCCATCAAATAATATAAATATTAATCCTTTAAAAGCAAAAATATTTAGAAAATCCCCCATTTTCAGAGCCCTAGGAATTTTGCTAGAAAATTCTGCAGCATTCCACACCGAACATGAAAATATTTTTTGTAAAAACAAATACCACTGAGAATCCATAACATAACTTGCAGTGGGGGCTTATTTTCTTATATTTAGTCGACACAAATGATGCCAATAAACATGGCAAACAGTTTTTGCTGGCAGGGAAGAGGCGGAGGCCAGTGGGAGGTGGTGGAGCGGCATCATCAACCTCACCCCAGGAGAGAAACTGGCAGAAAAACAAACCCAATGAACTGACACAACAAGTGGACGTGTCACTAGAAGACATTAGGAGAGAATGTCAACGGGTTAGGGGAGATCTCTGGCTAAGATGTACACAGAAAATATAATTTAAATAAATTAATTTAAGGAAGGATTCAGTCCCTTAGAGGGAGAGTCCTTTGCTTTGAAGGATACTCTATAATTCTGTATCTATTAAGTTAATAATTTCCCCCCTTTTTCTCTGTGCATCAAAATGTGGCAGAGATGCAAATGCGGTTTGGCGCCAGCGAGTGAGAATTTCTTAAAATAAATGCAATGCGATATAATAAACAAAATGTGGGCGCAGTTCATTCATGAAAAGTTCGCCAGTAATTAAACCAGATCGACCAGACATACTCGAAGACTATATATTCACAAGGACCCCCAGACAGAAACTAGGACAGTGAGAGTGACTGTGAGAGGGGCAAGGGCAGAGAGGGCTGCACCAAGTCTCTTGACTCACCAAAGATCGTATTGTTGGGATTCATGGCCACTTGGTTCTTGGCCGCATCACCGATCAGACGCTCCGTCTCCGTGAAAGCCACATAGCTGGGCGTGGTGCGGTTGCCCTGGTCGTTGGCGATGATCTCCACCTTGCCATGTTGGAAGACACCGACACACGAGTACGTGGTACCAAGATCAATGCCAACGGCTGGTAATTTGGGCATCTTTGCTGCGGCTTTAATTAGACCAACACGATGATGCCGCCACGGTGGACAGTGCAGGGTGCAGTGTGGTGGACGCCGTCAAGGCCCCCAGAGATCGAGAGATCGAGAACGAAAACGAGAATGAGGCGAGCCGAGGCGTTACGAATCGAAATCTAAATCGAAAATTGAAATTAAAATCAAAGTTGTGTAATCCTCACCACAATAATCCACAGAGCAGCCCCGCTGTCCTCGTCCTTTAGAAGGCAAACCGATACAGGTATAGGGATATGATCAGGAAGAGCAGTACAAAGGTCAGAACTCGGAAGAATTCGAGCGCCTTATCTCTTTGCAGCTCCACAGCGCCTACCGTTTGTCCCTACGTTGCCACAATGAAAACCAATCCGATCCTTCAATACAAATCCTGTTAGTTTGGGAGATGTTCGCGCCACGAGTGCCACCAGAAAACTGGCGGCATTCCGAGAGCTGCCACACAGCCGATCCCTGGCCAAAAACGATCGATTTTCGACGATGCTTTCGACCACGACACTCGGACGACGGCAACATAACCAGCTGTGGTGCCAAACGAGTCCCACCAAATGGCCAAGAGGGGAGAGGAATTTTTGGGGGGTCCTGGGACTCGGAGGTCTCACCTGGTCTAGTAACGACAATTACAGAACACGAGGCGATGGCTCTATGACCCTGTAATAGAAAATGAAACCTAAAAATGAATAATCCGACGATTTATTTTATTTTTAATGATTTTAATGTGCTTCTATGAACAATATATATCTCATTTTTAGGGGTATTTTTAAAGTATTTATTTTGAGTCTAGTATGGTACTTTGATTCCTTTCCCCTTAAGGGTTTCTCAAGCGGAGTATCTTAAACGATTTCTGGATCGATTCTCCACCATTCTGCATCAAAATCCTGAAACAAAATATTTTTTAAATTTTTTGTCCATTTCTCGTTAGGGGATCCCTTGAAAATGCGGTTTTCCCCTATAGGGTCCACGGGGATGGCTATATCTTCCCCAATTCTCATCCGATTCTCAAGCGGAGTACCTTAAACGATTTCTAGATCGATCTTCCACCATTCTGCATCAAAATCCCGAGACAAAATATTTTTTAGATTTGTTGTCCTTTTTTCGTCAAGGGATCCCTTGAAAATGGGCTTTTCCCCTATAGGGGCCACGGGGATAGCTATATCTTCCCCAATTCTCATCCGATTCTCAAGCGGAGTACCTTAAACGATTTCTAGATCGATTTTCCACCATTCTGCATCAAAATCCCGAGACAAAATATTTTTTTGATTTTTTGTCCATTTTTCGTGATGGGATCCCTTGAAAATGGGGTTTTCCCCTATAGGGCCCACAGCGATGGCTATATCTTTCCCAATTCTCATCCGATTCTCAAGCGGAGTACCCTAATCGATTTCTGGATCGATTTGCCACCATTCTGCATCAAAATCCTGAGACAAAATATTTTTTAGATTTTTTGTCCATTTTTCGTGATGGAAACCCTTGAAAAGGGGGTTTTTCCCTATAGGGCCCACAGTGATGGCTATATCTTCCCCAATTCTCATTCGATTATCAAGCGGAGTACCTTAAACGATTTCTGGATCAATTCCCCACCATTCTGCATCAAAATCCTGAGACAAAATATTTTTTAGATTTTTTGTCCATTTTTCGTGATGGAAACCCTTGAAAAGGGGGTTTTTCCCTATAGGGCCCACAGTGATGGCTATATCTTCCCCAATTCTCATCCGATTATCAAGCGGAGTACCTTAAACGATTTCTGGATCAATTCCCCACCATTCTGCATCAAAACCCTGAGACAAAATATTTTTCCGATTTTTTGTCCATTTTTCCTGATGAGACCCTATAAAAATCGGGTTTTACCCTATAGGGCCCACATTGATGTCTATATCTTTCCCAATTCTCATCCCATTACTTATAACATAGCAAAGACACATTCTTTTGTTCTTGAAGTTTGGGCTTAAGCCACCTGCTGAAAAACAAACATGGAAAACAGCAAACAATCTTACCAATGTCAAGGTTACGCCTCCGTAACCGTGCAAGCAGTTGTTTTAAACAAATATTTAAAATTTTCAAGAAACTGAAACCCCACCAGGGAGCCATTATAAATACCCAGTCGGAGATTGGGTAAATCATAGGTGAACTGTAGTTGCTCCCACTTAAATCTCAGACAGAATGAAGTTCCTTGTGGTTTGTGTTCTCGCTGCCCTCGTCCTGTGCCAGGTATCCTCGGCTTTTAAGATAAGACGGGTTATCTATGTAGTGCCAGCAACTACAGCTAGCCCAACCACCACAACCACCACTGATGCAACAGCAGCCAAATCAACAACGACGACAGCCGCTCCAGTGGTGATCCAGCAGATTGTGTACTGCACCTGGAAGAACAACTGGTGCCGACCCACCTCCTACACCGGAGGCAACTGCAAGTGGGGCCTCTGCAAGTTCACCGGATGAATAAACCTCCTCCTCCTTGATGTTAAATAATAAAAAAAAGATATTGTAGCACAAATTTGTTGATTTTTATTTGAAAGTCTGGCTTGGTCAAAAAAGACTTGCTGGAACGGTTTGATTCTTAACTAGAGATACTGGGGACAGAGTTCCAGAACGGGGAAAACATCCGAGAACTAGATCCGCTGCGATATAAGGTTCATACGAAAGCGTTAGGAAAAATAATCCATACTAATCTTAGAGGCTAACTAAATTCGATCCAAGCAAGGTGATCACCTAATCGGGTTAAAGCTGAATGGGTTAGGGGCTAGGCATACAAAGTACAGGCATGGCTTGGGTTAGGCGTATGATTATTAGTCATGATGATACTAAGGAGGCCACAGATTAAACTACAGCTTAAGCTAGTCTAGGGTTAAACAATGTGGTCTAACTTAACTAAGGATATGCATGTGATGAAGTAATCGCTTCTGTTGATTCTCAGAAGAGGATCTTTAGGTTTATACTTTTTGCATTTCGCAGCGGTTTTATTATGACATAATGGGTATGTAACTAATAAAAAATATAAATTTCAGTTTGGCAACTAAAGTCTGCCGATTAGTAAACATATATAGCACACAAGTATAGCCAAAGGATTAAAGATTGAAAGGATACCAGAAGTAGTATCACTAAAAATTATATAATTTGGATAATTTCAATTGAAGCATGAAAATAATTAAGAAACTGAATAGGTTCAAGGACCTATTACCGATCAGATAAGACATTGTATATATTGCTATCATTTAGAGTTCATATTTGTATATATATATATATATGCGATAATATTAGATAATAATGTAAGTTCGATTTTTCAACGTTTCTATCAATACTTTTGTCAGTTGTTCACATCAACTGTAGTTTGGTTTTCCTGGTTTCATAATGGGGTATCTGGTATCTGGTTTTTAATGGTCTTGCAAACCACTGAGCAGAGCTTATTGTAAATGTTAATTATAGTTTTTATTCGATTTGCTTGCTTGTCTTGCTGCAGCACTCCACATACATGTATGCACAACAAATAACATTCGTAGAATTTTTGCATTGCTTTTACAAAAATATACACTACTATCAATTATCATCAATTCTTATATCATCTTCTACCTAGTCTCTTTCTTCCTCAAATCGGATTCTTATCTTTTCTTTCTTTGTTTTATAAAGATTCGTAAGGCAAAGTTCGTGTGTATGTGTGTGTGTATTTGTCGTATATGTATGGGTTCTGTGAGTGTGTTCGTTTCTTTAACAAGTCGCCAAGTTCTCTGTTTCTGTTTGTCCTGTTCAACTAAATGCACAATTTTCGTAAGTATAATCCATTAACATAAATGCTAGTGTCTCGAAATCACTAGGCAAGTTGAGCTCGAATGAAATGGGCAGGGGGGGGGATCGCGGTCGGGAACACATAAGAGAGCTACGTAAACTCAGAATACAAACGGAGGGTAACAGTCTACTATACGGATAACATGAAAACTTATATGAGGCGGGGTGTGGTGTAGATGCGATCGGAAGCAGCGCCATTCTTGGGCCCTCAACGTCTGACAATGCTGGATGGACGGGGCAGGCCGCTGCGCTTCATCTGCGACGGTGGCCGCAGCCCCGATGGCTTCGGAATGCCGGTGGATCCCGTTGTGACCTGGGTCAGCTTCGAGGTTAGCGCCTGCGTGTCAAAGGCTTGTGGTGGATTCTGCTGAGGAACATTTCCGCCATTAACCGTCCTGCTGCTGTCCTTGTGTCCATAGAGACTGCCACGGGAGGAGGCCGACGAAAGACTCTGCAGGGGATTAGAAAATAAGGAATGAGTTTAAAATTTAACGCATGTAGTGGTCTACCAACCTCTGGGGTATCTGCGTCTGTCTTAGTACTCAAGCTGTAGTAGCCCGAAGAGGGCCGAGCGAGTCCATTTCCTCCTGCACGCTTGGCACCAGCCAGTCCAGGGCCTCGCAGGCCACTGACCAACTTGGGGACTTTGAAAACACCAGAGTCATCCTAAAGATGGTCCAGAAATCAAAAAGTATTCTCCAATTTTATCATTCAGCTCTTACCTCTTGACTCTGTGAGGCCACACGAAGTCCGCTGGTCAACTTACTAGCCGGTGCTCCAGGCCTCCGAAGTCCACCTCCCAAACTGGGCCTCGGTAAAGCACCTGCTCCCGCTCCCCCTGCAATGCCGCTCATCGTAGAGGACAGGTTGTGGAAAGATTTCGACTTGATGCCCATGGGACTCTTCAGTTCGGTGCTGGAAGGAACTGGAACAGCGACGGGCACGGCGGCGGTTGTGGAGTTCAGACCTGCGCCAGCCGAAGTGGCCTTGCTCACCGTGGTGAACTTCTGCAGGCCGCTTATGTAGCGAGGTCTGGACAGGGAGCGAGGCTGGGGAAGCGTGGACTCCGCCGAGGGATGAGCGTTCGTTCGACGCTGCAGTAGGCTCTTCTCCTTGGGCTTCTTGTAGGTCAAGTAGTTGCTGGCACTTCCCTCCGCCCTATAATTGTTGTTGTTGGCGGCTACGTTCTGATCCCGGCGAGACAAGCGACTTGGCGGGGAGGCCTGTCGCTGTGGCTGCTGCTCCGCTTCCTGTAGCTGGTCTTCATCCTCCACCGCTTCTTGCGGAGGATCCTCCAGCTGCTGCGGCTCATCGTCTATACAAGGCACTATAATCTCCTGCTGCAGGCGCATATCCCTGGAAATCTTGATGGTCTTGAAGCGTTCCCGATCCCTCTCTCGGCGCTCCGCCAGCTTATAGCTGGACGGATCAGTCTCTGCTGCTACCTGCGACCGGGGTTGTTCCTCCGCGGGCTCAGGCTCTGGTTCCGGGGCCGGCTGCTCCTCCTGGGGTACATCTCTCCGCTGGACAATAAAGGAAGCCGAGTTACAGCTGGCAGAGCTGCCGTTGCTGCCGTGCATCACGCTCAGGTTGACGTCGTCGTAGAGGCGACTCCGCCGGCTCAGCAGTCGCTCTCCTGTGCCACTGCTACTGTTATTGCTGCTCGAATGGCTTTGATTCAGTGTTGGAGTCTCCACCTTATCGACTGGAGTTTGCAGTTTCGGTTCCTCTTCCTCCCGCTCCGGCTCCGCTTCCGGTTCGTCGCGATGGAAGCGCCTCTTTATCGTGTCCAGGGATTTCTGCATCTTGAGCTGGACCTCGTTTAGGGTGTTGACCTTTCCCAGTTCGGCCAGCATGTGCTCGAACTGCTCCTCGTCGCCCTGCTGGGCCAGCAACTCCACTTCGGCCTCGGCCAGATCCATGACGCACTGCATCTGCTTGTGTTGCTCGGACATCTGCAGGCTGTAGGTGCCATCCAGTGGCTGTTCGATCTGCTCCAGCAGCTCCATTGTGTCCAGCACGAACTTTTCGCCGTCGAACGGAGCTGCTTTCGCCGCTGGCTCAAAGGTATTATTGAGGCGTGCCGGTGCTCCGGTTGGCTTCTGCGGCGTGACACTGACTATCGGGGACAGGTTCATGTCGCCCCGACCCTTGAGGGTGGGCGTATATCCTTGCTTGTTGTTGTTGTGGTAGTAGTGGGGTCGAATGTTGGTCGTCAGTGGCGTGGATTCCATGGTGAGTAGTGCCAGTTTCCGTTCGACGTTCTCGGGCGTTTCACAGCGAGCTTCCGGTGTGTTGCATCCCTCCGTGTAGGTGGTGTTCATCTGACGGCCCGCCAGCAGCAAGGTCTCATCCGCCGCTGGAGCGGCTGCAGAGCTCGCAGCTGAAGGTCGCTTGAAGGTGGCATTCCCATCCATTGGCATCGATTCAGCGTCCGATTGCAGCACCGATGTGGTCAGGCTGTCCACTAGGTTGAAGGTGGTGTCGCCAATCATTTCCTCGCCCAGGATCATGGTTCGCTGCAGGACTGGAAAAGCGGCAGACATCGGCCTCTCCGGGGCCAGTGGATTCGACATGCTGTCTGTGCTATTGTCCATGGTGCTGCACCCCGAGGCGGTCTTGCTCAGCGTAAGGGATATCTCATCGATCTGGCCAATGTGCGAGTCCTTGGTCAAGGTGCCGTCCTCCTCGCACAGCGTCAGCGACTCCAGCGCCTTTCTGTCCCGGATCATGTCACTGAGAGTGTAGCCAGCCAAACCACCGCCAAGGCCCATGCCCGCCACCATGTTATCCGTTGTTTGGTTGGTGAGTGTGGTGGTGAGGCTGGGGTCCTGTTCCAGGCTGAGGGTCGACTGGAGGAAGTTCAAGTTGGTGAAGTCGGCCGAGGTAATCAGGGAATTGTTCATCCGTTCCGTGTTCATGGACGAGCAGATGGAAGACGGCGGCGAGGTGTCCTGCAGGAAGGATTTGTGCATGTTCGTGGTGACCAGGCCCCCGATTTCCAGTTGGAGCATCGCTGGTGTGCCCACTCCGCTGTCATTGCCCGCTCCATTCTGGCTCTGCTAGAAATAAGAGATCCGATTAGGGCAAGTTCAGTTCAAGATGCGTCTCTATACTCACGAAATCAAGGTTGCGACGTTTGGGCCGAGTGAAGGTCTTCGTGTTGTGTTTGTAGGCTTGCATTTGGGAGAACAGTAGTTGGTTAGAGATTATTTTCTTCGGTATGAGCTTGACGACTTATGAACGATCTTAGTCTAGATAACAGATAAACGATCTTAACCTAATCCTTGTTAACTTGTTTAAAACTAATCAAAAATCGTCTCCAATGAGTACGTCCTCGTCGATGACCAGTTCCAAGGTATCCTCATCAGATACGATCGTTTCGTCGATCTCGTTCTCCAAGTCCTCTTCAGGTTTGTATACCATCTTAGCTATTGGTACTAGAGGCGGCATCTCTTCGAATGTCTCCTTCGATTCAATGGCCATTTTCGGCATGCACAAGCTCAGCTCCAAAACTTCCTTAGTTTCCTCTTCGGGATCGCTTAGCATCGGCCCACAATCATCAATGCAAACGATGCTCACCAAGGGCACCTTGGAGTCCTTGGATTTTGGGTTGTTGCACATGATACTGAGCATGTCATTGACTATTGTCCATCCGGGGTTTCCCAAGGGGCGGAGAGCAAATACGCGCTGAAAGTAGCGCACGTGACTGCCGACCACAGACTTCTCTGTAAAGGATCCAGTGAACGCGAAGATGCGCAGGTTGGCTTCATACACCAGTACATCCAGGGATGTGTTCTGCTGGTCGGTCTGCATCCTGGGCAGCCGACTTAGAGCGAGTATTATGGCCGAGCTGTTGTGCTGCAGCTTGGCGTTGCGCGCAAACGTCGATTGAGAGCTCTTGTGGTTGCGATTGTACATCCTGTAGGGGACAAAGTTCAATTTCTCGGAAACACTCAGCGAAAATATGGCATCCCCATGGTAGAATTGTTCAAGCTCCGACCGATTTTTCGGCTCATCGAAGTAATTGTAGTACATGGTTAGAAAATGCATGCAGAAGTTTGGTCCCTTAGCGTCTGCGCTTTGAAATCTCCTGGGACCGGGTAATATGAAATTCTTTTCCTTGGACAACACACAGCCGTGGATATTCTCCAGCGAAGGCAGCACGCTTCGAAACTGGTTGGTGTTGCACTTGGTCACACCGTTTCCCGCCACAAAGAGACGCTTTAAATCATATTCGATGAGGTATTGGAGTTCTTCCAAATCTTTGATCTTGTTGAAGCTGATATCTAAGCCCTCCAGGGCCTCAAACCGACCGACCGATTCAAACGCTTTCAAGGTGCATAGATAGTTGTTGGAAAGCACTATGGTACGAACCTTGGGCAAGGCTTTTCTCACCGCAAGCAGAACAGTCTCGAGAAACTTCTCCACGTGCAATGGGCAAAAGTGATTGGCCAATGCCGGACTGGCATGAAACCGGGACAGGTTCAAGGTATGAGTGGTGTTATCGTAGCGAGACTTAACAGCTTCCAGCACCGCCTCAACGAACGGTCCGTTGACCACCGTATTTAATACCTCCTGTGGCAGACCATCGGAAAGTTTCATTTCAATTTTCTTCGGCGAGTAGAGCACGTAGCAGTTGTTTTGCAAGCGCATCAGGCGATTGGCGACCAGCATGCTGTCCACCTGGAATTGGCCGCTCGACCCGTTGTCCTCGTCCCAGTTGCGGCGAAAATTAAATATGTCCACATCGATGGGCAGCAAAAGCCATTTCAGCGCCACCATGATCGACTCATCTGATATGTCGGCGCAGTTCGAAATAGACACCGTGGTCCAGCCAGTAACGGTGGCAAAGCGATCCTCGGCCGAGTCCCACAAGACCTTCTCCATTAAGAGATCCATATTTTTGACGGATACTTTCATCTTATCCTTCAAAATTTGCTGCACACATTCCTGCTGCACATAGCTTCTGCCCTGCAGATTCTTTCGCAGATCGCTTAGTGGCTGCTGCATGTATGGCTTTGGTGTTTTAAGGGAAACGCCTAAGCGGCTACCCGAATTATTGGATTTTCCGCTGTTTAAAACTCGCATATTGCTTTTTTTTCGTTTTCGCGTCCGAACTCCGCAGTAAAAATTCTTAGAAGAGTGCAAGCTCTGTAAAACTTTACCGTTGGAACAGTGTTGTCTGTTGGACGCTTTTTCCCCACAGACGTTGCAACCCTGTCCAGCACGGACAGTGCAATTTAATCGATTAAATTGATCGATTGTCTTGAATTGTTCATTGATCGATGTTTTTCAAAAACAGCTTAAAAAATATTTAAGCTGTTTATAAACTAACTTTCTACTATAAATAAAAAAGGATATTCGCAGTATAGTTAAAAATTCAATCATAATCTCATAAATCATTGATAGTTTGTATTCTTTAATAAATACAGGAAAATAAGATAACAAAAGAAAAAGGAAATACAGATCTAATAAAAACAATTTTAATGCTTCCATTCAAAAATTAAGCCAGAATGTTACAAATTAGTATAAAATGACTGATCAATACCCATTTATAAGAATATTTAATTGGCAAATCGATTTTTAATACCCATCAGAGTCTTTATGGTAAAAATGTCTGTTTTAAATAGCTAAGCCGCACTCAAGTGTCTCGCGAATCGCATGATTGACTTTCGCCCGTTGGGCAGGAAGTAAATTGGATTTATATAATATCCACTTATTACGCGAGATTCTTGCCATATTTGCATAGCCAGTTTTTAGCCAGCAGCAGACCACGCACAGCTGTTTGTCGCCTGGCCAATGGGCCGACATACAAACATATATATGGAGGACCGTGTGTGGGGGGGCTTGTGGGTTGATTAATTACCGTAACAATAACATTGGCGCTTGCCAATTATGGAAACGTTAAGTACACGACGGACGGGTCGCCGTCTCCTGCCCACGTTGGGACTTTGTCAACGTAGCCGACGCCGACAGTTTAACCCAAATTTGTTTTAGAAAGCGCAACTGCATAGCGTACGGACTACATACAGTATGTGCTTCCATGTCGGTGGATGCATCGGTATGCGTAAGGCTCTTACCTTCGTTGTTGCACTGCAAATGCATCTGCATCTGCAGCTGCGGCTGGTTGTTCGTCTTCCACTGCTGCAGTATGTTGGACACATCGTCATGGGTCTTGTCCGCTTGAAATCTGGCAAGAAGTACCAAGCGTTCATAAGTATTTTTAGCCTCAACAAAAACAGCACCCGAAGAAAGAGCAACAACAACAAGGGTGCATCCACATCACTCACATATATGAATCATCCTTGAGTGCCTCATCGATGTCCAGGATATCCATGTCCAGCGATGGCAAGGGGAAACTTTATGCTTAGCTTAAAACACTTTAATACAGCCCTAAATCATTGCAATAAATGGCAACAAAAGGGCCTTCGTTTGTCTGTTTGACCAATACAAGATACCAATTTTGCTTGTCGAGTGCTGGGAACTGACGGTGGTGGCGCGTTTTCCAACCCTATTCCACTCCACTAGTGATGGAACTATCGGCCGTCGGTTGTACCACGCCGCCACCTGGTGACCCTATGCAGTGTTTGGATTGTCAATTTGGCATATAAAAAACAAAAATGAGGAAATTAACGGACGCCGGCATGGCCAAGAACTGTCGCTTGTGCGCCGTGCCCTCCTCGATACTGGTGGACCTGTTCTCGACAGAGATCTCCAATCCGCCCGTCTCAGAAATGATGAACTCGTTTTTAAAAGAGGATTGCCGCGTAAAAAAGGATGAACTTCCTCAGAAGGTTTGTCCCACATGCTTAGTGGCCGCACAAAGCGCCTTCCACTTCAAGGAGAAGTGCGAGCAGAGCTTTCACTACTTCACCCGATTAACCACGACTGGGAAAAAGGCGGATCCGAAAGCGGAAAGTGAACCAGAAGAAATCGCCTTTGAGATGGTTGGATGTGGGGATCCGCTGAGCACCGAGGTTGTGCCGGAGTGCAGCCTGGAAACTTCCGAAATAAAAGTATGCCCGGTTCAGCTAGAGGCGTGTCTCGGTGTGGAGGAGGACAGCTTGCTGTGTGGTATGCCTAAATGGAAACACCATAAGCTTTATTTCATATCTAGTTTTCAGAAATCACTCCTAGCGATATAAAGCAAGACATAAATTTGGCTACCGAGGAAGAATCCCAAAATGGAATAGAACAGCGCGATGGAGGGCTCGGATCGGATGAGGACAATGAAGAGGACGGGTTTTCCGATGCCTGGGCCCCCGAGGAGACGTCATCGATATCCAGCGAAGATGAGGAGGAGCTTGTGATCGAGACCGACATCAAGCCGAACATAAAAGCCGGAAAATCTGCTTCTTTGCTATGTCCCCTTTGTGGAGCCCAATCAAAATCGCAAAGGGGACTGGCCCAGCATATGAAGCGACATCGGAATCATGAAAATGATCCGGGGTTCCCGCACTTGTGTGATAATTGCGGCAGAGGCTTTAGGACAAATGCCAAACTTATCATCCATTATCGCCGTCACACGGGAGAGCGACCCTTCCAATGCGAGCACTGCCCCAAGGCGTACACCCATCGTCGGACCCTTAAGATGCATATGCTCTGTCATGATGAGAAAAATGCATATAATTGTCCGGAGTGCCAGAAGACTTTTTACAAGCCATACCATTTGAAGGCACATATGCAGTTACACTCGGGAGACAAGCCCTTTAAGTGCCCCGACTGCCCGATGGCCTTCAACAAAAACTCTGGACTGAAGATGCACAGCCGCCTGCACACTGGCGAGCGACCGTTCAAGTGCGAGATCTGCGGCCAAGGCTTTATTCAGAACCACCATTTGATCACCCACTTGCGGGTCCATAACGAGGACCGTCCGTTCAAGTGCCCCGACTGCGACAAGTCCTTCTTCGAGAAGTCCAACATGAAGAAGCATCAACGCACCCACTCCGGAGTCAAACCGTACAAGTGCGAGGAGTGTGGCCACGAATTCTCGCACGCTCATCATCTTAAAAACCACCTACGGGTCCACACCGGAGAGAAACCATATAAATGCACCCAGTGCGACAAATCCTTTGCCGCGAGCCAGTCGCTGGTGAAGCACAAAATTTGGCACGAGGGTAACCGCCAACGTGAGTTTATGTGCACCGAATGCCCGAAAGGATTCGACACAAGTCACGGACTGAAAAACCACCAAAAAACGCACAAGAAGCCGCAGGTGAAGGAGTCATACCAGTGCCCACACTGCGAAGTGAGGTTTGCTTTGAAAAAGACCCTCGACAAGCATATTTCCACCCATAAGATTCGGCCATTCCCATGTCCGCATTGTCCGGAGGGATTCTTCTCCGGGAAGAGCTACAAAAAGCACATGAAACTGCACAACCTGAAACTGGAAAAACGAACTTTAACTTCCTAATTGTAGGATTTTCATGCAATTGTATCGTTTTTAAAATCATTGTGACATATTAACATAGTTGATAAGTTTTAGTTAAGATACATTTTTTAACTCGCATATAGTTTAAATTTTGTAAATGTCCTAAAACTGTTATAAATAATTTTTACCAAATATGGTGTGTGAGGTTTTTAAAATTTTATTGGTATGTTATGTTGTTTAAACAATCTAAAATTTCATTGTCCGTTCATTAAGGCAAGTTTTGTCTGTTGCACAGTTTTCAACATGTACTGCGCTCCTATCGATTGCCAGCATGATGAATAATATATATCTTTTTTATTTTCTATAACATAAATGCTTTGCTTACACATTACACTTGCTTACGTACAGATTTTGATTTTCATTTTCATTTTAATTTTTATTTTGATTTTGATGAATCGCAACAGTTTTTTTTACGAGAAGTGGAGGCTTTTAAAGCCGCCAACAAAAAGGCGCGATATGTTTTTTGAATTATTATTTAACAATTATTACCCAAACGGACACAATAAGTAACTCTGTCGGATTTCTCCGCTGGTTTGTGGTTACTTATCGAGTCCATAATGGGAGATTTTAAGAGAAAATTTTGGACAAACTTAATTGAGAAATATATGCATAAGGGGTTCAAGCGCGAGCTTTTAAGATTTGTGTTTAAACATAGGTACAAGTATGGTTACTGTTACATTAATTACAATAGGTACAATAATCATATCGAATATGCGGTAAGTGTTTAAAATTAATAAAGCGTAATTAGATAGATTTCACTACGAACAGAATAAGGGCGATGCTTCAGTATACAGATAACAATTAAGTACAATCCTTAGCCTAGACTCTCTGATTTTTGTGTGTGTGGGGGGTGTATAAATACTAAAAATATATACTCGTATTGTAGATTCCCTTCCTACATTAAGAACAGGAGGGTGGCGTACACCTTCCAGCGCGGCGTGAGGTTCGTCCAATTACCGCTGAAATAAGCTCCAGAGCTTGTAGCTGGAGACACGCTTGGCCAGGTTGGCGGCGGCGCTGCTGGGCGGAGGGTTGGTCGACTCGGTGGCCAGGGCTCGCCGGTTGTTGATCAGCTTGGAGCGCATCTGCTCGTCGATCAGCTCCTGCATGTCCATCTGCCACTGCTCCAGCTGTTGGGACAGCTCCACCTTCTGCTGGATCGACTCCAGCAGCTGGCTGTTGGCCTGCATCAGCTCCACGCGCGTCTTGGCCAGCTCCACCTCCGCCTTGGTGCGCCGCTCGTTGGCCGCATCCCGCTCCGTCTGCGCCTTGGACAGCAGCTCGTCCCGGTCGGTGTTGTCCTCCAGATCGCCCCGGGCTTGGTCGCGCTCCTCCTTTACGTTCTGCAGCTCTACGTCCGTCACTGTGACCTTTGCCTCCAGCTGCTGGATCAGTTGGTGGCTGCGTTTGATCTCATCCTCCTGCTCCAGGACAAGGTTGCGGGTCTGGTCGAGCATCTTCTTGAAGTTTCCGGCGTCCAGGTTGAGTAGCAGCCTGGTCAGCTCATCGGACATGGACGAGAGCATGCCCTGGCGGAACTCAATGGCCGGATGACCGTCCTCATTGCGCTCCGAACTGGAAATTGTGTTGTCCATCGACTCTAGTTCTAGAGATATGTCCGAGTTGAGACCTGAAATTATTAATATTATTTAATGCTTATATCTTTTCTTTTTAATATTTTTGAATACCAACCTGAGTCATCGTCGTGGCTCACTTTCAAGGAGTCCACCAGGGACTTGAGTTGTATGTAGACGGACCTAGCCTCTATCCACATGTGGTTGGGCTTCCCCGTTTCCGTATAGCTGCCATCGTCCTCGTCGCATTCCATCTCGAACTGCAGACTCTTTTTCCCTGGGGTGCTCGAATTTGTGTCCTGTAGAAAGGATTCGAATAGTAGGTATTAGTTTTTGTATCTGAGATGAAACTAGGTCTAAACTTCTTGATGTTTTGGAAAAAAATCAGATGATTTTAGAAGAAAATAATGTTTGATTTTCATATTAAACCCAATTAGTAATCCTTGTGAGGCGTTAGATGTTTTGGTTAGTAGTTGAAATTATTTTTTAAAATAAAAAATTAAACTTACGGCCCCCAATCGTTCACTGAGTACATTATTTTCCCGCTGAGAGCGCTCCAATGCCTGTAAGGTGGTCTGTGGATTTAAAAAATGTATTAATTAAATTTCATAATTGATTTTTTAAGTCTTTCTTTCAAAATCTCTGCACATATTTCATATTTTTATATAGACTTGATTAGATTTCCAAGTCCAAGTCCATAAATATTTTTCGGTTTGGAGTTTAATCTTTGCTCCAAATGGAGCAAAAAGAAAGTCGTTGCCGGGGAGATATACAGAGGTAGACCTGGGGAGCGGCACTCGAAAAACTGCGCAGTTGCCTTTTTTTAGCCAAACTCATAAATAATCTTCATTTGGCTTCTAAATCACGATTTCGTTGTCGCTACGTGATAAAGACAATTCTGATTTTCTCCTCTTGCCAATTTCTATACTATTATTCTTAGAAAAAATTTATTTTTTTCACTAGAACTTACCTCTAATTTTGTTTCCTGCTCGCGGGCGTGGCGCTCCAGCATGTGGATTCTGTCGGAGGCTTCCTCCAGGGAGGAGGTCAGGCTCTCCTTCTCCTCCTGGGCGTGCTGCAGACGGCGCTCTAGCTCCTGTCTCTTGCCCGTGGTGAGATTGAGTTCTGTCTTGATGGACTCCAGGCTGTTGACATGTTCCTGGAAAGGATTTAACTTGATTTTGAAACAACTGCCAGGAGAATAGATAAGAAAACCCACCTGTAGACTGCTATTTCTGTAGTGGTACTGGTCCTTTAGCTCCTGGATCTGTGCGCTGAGCTTGAGCTCCGTGGCATGAGCCTCCTGGATTTGCTCGGTGAGCCGTGTGTTCTGGTGCTGCAGCTCATCGATGAGGATGGTCTTCTCCTTTTCCGCCTGCCGGATAGCCGTGTCCTGGGTGTGCAGCTTATCCTTGAGCTCGTTGAGATCGGACTGCAGCTCGAGGACACGCTGGTCGCTCTCGTCCTCGGCGATCGACAGTTTCTGGCGCAGCACATGCTTCTCCTGCTCGAGTTTCTGCACAAAGATAAAGGGGGAAAATGGAAAGTTAATTATGAGTGTACTGGGCACGTAGTGTATTGTTTGTTCTATGACGTGTTGTCAATTATACGCCACTCAAGACAATGAAAGTAAAGCCAAACAATGTGCAACAGCAACAATGTAGTTGCCAGGCAAACCGCAAGGTTAACTTGGCTCTCAGCTCTCGGCCGGGCTAATTGTTTAGTTATTTGCATTTTCAATTGGCTGCAGGTTGGCCGAAAACTTCCTCTCACTCGGTTTTCTGTTTGTGCCGATTTGGCCCACTGTGCTGGCGGCCAAAAGACTCCCAGCCACAAAAAGAAAAACAGCAAAAACAATGCCAACGACTTTTGACACCAACGGCAGGCGGACTCAGCCATCAAAAGAAACAAATTCCCATTATTCAAATTAAAATGCAATTGAATTTTCACTTCTCTGTGCCAAGATGCGGTTTCCAGACAAATGGCTGGCAAAAAAAATACGAAAATTAAAAGCGCATCAGTCTGAGGAGTTTTTCAAGAGTCGTTGGAGAGTTTTCAGTCAATTGTTTGAAGTATTTGATTTTAATTAAGTTTTTTAAACATAAAGGTGTTTTATGGAGTTTTTATAGATTTTTTTAAATACGGATATATTATCTGATCATGAAGTTTTTTTTATTAACAGGCCTTAAAACATCTTTATAGGTTTTAGTAGGCTTTGAAACGCCCTTAAGACTTTTCAAGTCTTATACATAGATCCTATATAAAATGTGATCTAAGTCCGGGTTTCGGCTACCAGTCTGAGGTATTGGCACGAGGAACGGCGGCAATTAATTTGCATAATTGACAGGCGTGTGTCTGACAGTCTTAGCCAGGTATGAGTAAGCCCCACTGGCTGGGGGCTATTTGTGTTTTTGCGGGCCGACCTTTTTGGATCAAGGCTTGCGGAGACATTGAAAATTGCATGCAAAGTTTAATCGATAATTGGACCTTCAATCGACAAACACTGGCTAGCACTATATGTACGACAAAAAACGGCCTGCAAAATAATAAAATCCGCTGATAGAACCTCTAAGCCAGCCTTGTAACCAATGCAGCTTCTTTTTTCTAATTTTTTTTTTGTCTGTGGGATTATCGGAAGGCGGAAAAGCTAATGCGACCACGTATAATGAGCTAGAGAAAATCACGAGTTGGCAATAAATCTGAGAAGTCAACGCGATTGTTTCGGCCTATCAGCAAAACCAACTGGAAGTGCAGAAAAAACCGCCAGAAGAAAATAAACAACAACCCAATAAATTGGAGCGACAAAGCTGTAAATGAAAAGCTTAAATAAAATTACTAGTAATTTGCATAAAATGCAAAAGACGCCAACGATGCCGAAAAAACCACAAAGTCGTTGTCGCTGCACAAGCCAAGCACCAAACAGAAAAAAATAAACTATAAGCAAAAAAAATAGGAAAACTGCTGCAACTAGCAACAATGGAAAACTTTAATAACAAAACACAATTGCAATCAGAGACAGACTCAAAAGTCTGAGGAGACTGCGCAGCCACAGATGGAAATGAAACAACAACAAATTATATATGTATAAAAAAAAAAATAAAAATAAAAAAAAAAACAAAACAGAAATAAAATGATTGTACATATGGTACTTTCTCTGTTTCTATTTCACGCTCAATGAAATGTGTTGATGATGGCAGCAGCTCCAGCAGCACCACATCCACTACAAAGAGCCACAAGCCACCAACAGCAACACCAACAGCGGAAGTTGCCACCAAATCAGCAATACAGGGAAAAAAATTTCATTATTTCTGTGTATTTTTAATCAGATAAGTAGGTTATTATAGTTTATGATATATCTTTATGGTTTTAGTTGGAAATTTTCTAATTTTTAATCTCAAAAATAACTATTCTATTATAAAGATAATCATAAAATAAACCTACAAGTTTTACTTTAATGTTTTGATTCGCAATATGGATAAATGGCCGGTTTGAGGGACACGACAATACTGGGGGTATCGATCAATATAACTCATACGCCCCGTAGCCCTTTTCAATATTCATGAAACCCCATTCTTAAAAAATAAAATAAAATATCATAAAATAAACCTACAAGTTTTACTTTAATGTTTTGATTCACTATATGGATAAATGCCCGCTTTGAAGGATGCGAAAATATTGGGGGTATGGATCAAAATAACTCATACGCCCCGTAGCCCATTGTATATTGCAAAATGGTGTTTTGAATCAAGTATCTACTTGATATTTAAATATAAAAAATGCGGAAAAGTGTATCTGAAAAGTAGATATTTCAACCATCTTGTTTCTAATAAATTCCTTTGCAAATATAAGGTAAAAGCTACCAATTTTTCCGAGTGATACAAGCCACCACAGCAGCCGTCATAAAACAAAAAAAATGAGCTCACATATTCAAAAGCAAAATCATGTGGCAGACTTTAATTGTAGGAAAACTGAAGACGCAACATAGCAGCAGCAACAACACCAAAAGCAACACTCAACAAACAAAATCAGCCTCAAATTTCATGATGGTCATGCCAGCAGTTTTGTTTTTTGCGTTAATTTTATTACGTATTTGTATTTCGGATCTCTTTTTCATCCAAAGCTAATTGCATTGCATGATCACCTGAAATGGGATATCTCGCACAGCCAGCACAGGTAAACAAACACGCCCCTCTGCAACACCGGCAACATGTTGCCAGGTATTTCTATTTCTTTTATTTTTTTTTTGTTGCCACCAATATAAGGCTGCTGCTACTGCTGCTTGTCTTATTCAAATGCGACGTAACTCGACCCACTTTCGAAGTAAAGCGGCGCTCACTTGGAATTGTTGTCGATTCGCTGCCATTTTCGAGCTATGAAAATTATAAATATTTGTGCAGCGAAATTTTGTGCAGGAAATGTCGAAGCAATTGACACGGTTAGCGACACAAAACCAACAATAGTCTAGAGAAGAGGTAGCAACAAGCCGCCAACAACGAGCGACAGGTGCGCTGGCGATGACTCATCAATGAATGGGCCAAAAGCATTTGCGGGCAAAAGTGTGCACTTATGCAAATACCTCTCAGTCTCCCTCCAGCGGTCTATTATTGGTTACAGCTATCCAGGTAAATGGGGAAAACTTATTTGTGCTCAATATTGTGAAGTGTTGGCGGTTTGTTTAATTTCACACTTGAATATGAGAGGACTCTGTCCGCTGTGGGGTTATTGCTCATATATAATTGGAATTGGGGGATAAATAAATATATATGCATGATAAATTCAAATAATATGATGAAAATAGATTACAAACCTGAAACAATATATTTTAGCCCTGTAAGTACTTTCTATCTTTATTTAAATCCTTGAAATTAACCTTTTCAAAACTTTTCAAGTATAGTCCTTTCTTTCAACTGAAAGACTGATAAGCACTTTTTAAACAAATTCTACCCAACTAACAAATCATAGATTAATACCTTAAACCATGTGTTAAATGACTGACTATTTGCATTTCACAATCACTTTTGAAGTTGCTGATTTTTGGATTGGTAAATCATGTCTTTTTTCAGGCCCTTAAGAGACACTCATGATGGACCGTCATCGAGTCCAATAACATTACTGATGAGTCGAGTGTTGAAAGCGGCATGCCGCCAAAGCTCTAAAAATGCATTCGATAATTGCTTTAAAATAATTAACTAAATTGCCAGCAAAGTCACGCTGGCCCGGCCAGAAACGTGCCAGAAGGGGCGGTTTGGGCCAAAAGCGGGGTGATTCGCTTGAATGAGTTTTTATTTATTTTCTGTTGTTGAATTTTTTACCAACGCGATGAGTTGACAAGGCTCTATTCTTGTGGATGCAACTTGGCAGGTAAGCTGCAGTTCCGAATGTCAAATGAATGGGAATTACCTCAGCGGGTATTAATAAACCTTCAGCTGGCTTAAAGCATTTAAATTGCTAAACATTGCAATGACTCAGGCGGTGGATGAGCTCAGCTTGGATCGGATCGGTTGGGATTGGATCTTTTGGGCTGGCTGTGAGTCAATGGCCCAAACAGCATTGGTAACAGCATAGATGCAACATTACCAAATGCCTGGCCATTTTCCACATGCCTTGCCATGAATTTTCCTTCACAGTGCGTATTTTAGCCCGGTTCATAGATAAATCAACCTCACTTCGTTGAACAGCAGATCATTAAGAAAACCGAGGGAGATCTCTTTATATTTGAGAGGGTGGTTCGGATGGGAAAGCAGTCCACCCGCCAGGAAAACTACAAACTTTCCGTTTTCACAAGACTTTTCCACAATTAGTATTTAATTAGCAGCACTCGCACATAATTGCAAATGCAAATGCAAATGCCATAATGCTTTTTATTGCCAGACACAACGAAATGTAGCGCACAAATTATGAAAATTGCACGTTTAGCCATCCCGGCATTTTGACTAATTTCAGCTCATTTAAATGAAAACCGATTAACGATCGTTGATAACAAAGGGGAAGTCTTGTGAAAAAGAGTCTCTCCCTCTCACTTTGAACAATTTTCTGTCTGATTTTAGCTTGTTGTTGGCCAAGAAGCGAGATCAGCCATTTGGAGTCGAGTGTGAAACTCGGCAATTAGCCAGAATTGCTCCATAGTGCAGCCAGATTGCAGCACATCGGCCATAAATCAATTGACTCACAAACCTCTGTTGGCCAGTTGGCAATTCAATTGTCATACACACAAGGAGCCTTTCAAGGAGGCTATTAAAGTGCACTTGAAAAAATTATATGACTTTTTTTCTCAAAATTGGGGATAGTTTAGAGTCCATAAGTATTATCCTTAAGAGGTACATCTTTGATGTACAATTTCAACTTCATATTTTTCTTAAAACAAAAGCTCAAATTAAAGCATTCTCTCGGACGTATACCTATATAAATCATAACTTACTGTTTTATTATACAATATTTTTATATTCCTCACTCGTTGACAATGCACCAAAATGCAGCATTGACCCCCAACCCCGTTTTATGGCCCAAAACAGCTAC